ACCCTCTGTCTCTGTTAGTTTGATGTCGTACCATGGGTTACGCCCGCATGTCAACCCCTGTCAGACTTGCCGCCCTTGTATTTTTGCTCTTGGTTCGTGTAGGGATCCCCCAATCTCAGAATCAAGAGAAAGATATGTAATTGTCTTTATTTACCTTTCCGCCTTTTTCACGATCGAATAAGAATATGATACAGTGGTAAGGAAATATGCGCGATCAAATGAATATGTATGAATGTTGATATATTCATGGAATACTTTTGGAAAATCGATTCTAAAAATCAGAACAAAAGCAAAAGTTGGTATGTAAAAATGTCAAATAAAAGTTAAAATGTGAACATGTCTAACATTAATTTGAAATTAAATTTTATTTTCACTGCTATGATAAAGAAAGATGTTTAAATTGTGAAAATTGTTTAAATATTAGGATATTTATACAGGAAGGAGATTCTATTATATCTATTTATAAAAATATTTCTGTATTTAATTATTATCAAGTCTATTCAAAATTATCCCTTCATTACAAAAATCCAATATCATTCTAAATAAAACTGAAAAAAACGTATCATTAAAAAAACTCAAATACAATAAACTTTATGTTCATCATTAAATATGCGGTTATTCCTTTTCAGGGATTCCAGATCCATCGTATGTAATTTTCCAATATACGCATCAGGATGGGCGCGCGCGGAGATCGCCTTTAACGTCAGACACGTCTAATCCCCTTTGCACGTGTCATCCCGTGGACCAAGGGCGTGAACTCACGTCCACGCACGCCCACGCACCAAAGGGGAAGATAACTGTTGCAGGGTCACTCGACACGACACTCTCTCGTGCCATCTTCCTCTCCACCCTGTCGAAACGGCGACAGTGTAACAACCCTTACCGTCACAGTTTCTCGTCTCTCTTTCTCTTTCTCTTTTCTCTTTCTCTATATGCCAGGGGTTGCACAATCGCGGCCTGATTGATAATTTATACGGTGCGTGCAGGTTATTCGATTATCCGTCCCTCCAACTGGCCCACTCTCTTCTTCCGTTTTTCGTCTCATTTTCTACATGCCGTTTCTCTGTTCTCTTCTTTTCTTTTTTTCTCTTGTCTTCCTTCGATGTTCCGTTATTCGTGTTGATCCATAGTTAGGTTAGATTGTTGGATATTGTTGTTCCATGATTTTTGGATCCTCTGTAATTATTTATAACATATAATTTATAATATATATAGTTGGTAAACTGGTAAACTGGTTGGTAAAGTGGATTTTTGATTGAGTACAGGATATTTTAGTAATCTAAAATATTTAAGATAACTTATATGACATATAAATTTATAAAATACAATTGCGAAATTTTTATATTATCAAATTTGATACGAAGAAATTATTGATCGCTTATAATTTGTGATTTATAAAATATTCTAATGACATTAATTTAATTTTTTAGGCTTATTTTATGTTATTTTTTAATCTTTTTTTTTTAATTATACGAGTTGCTAAATCAGCTTACGCTTTAAGACCGTAAATTAATACGATTTCATCTTATTGTGTGGCAAACACGTGTATCATCTCTTATCCACCTTGCATGTTCCGAACGTCGCTTAGAATATTTCGGGGTAGGTTATATCTTATCCATTGCACGTGCCTGGCTAGATGTAGAGCGACAATTTAGGTATACATATATTCATGTTTATAAGGAAGAGTATAATAGTATCATTTCCTTAATTAACGCCTTTGTGTACGCTGTACGTGTTCTGGACATAAAAACAAAAAACAATTTTGATATTGGATTATTCTGAGATTAAAGAATCATACAATAAAAATAATCTAATATTTATATTATACTTATTCTAGAATACATCTACTTAATATTACATAGAATTAGATTTTTATCATTAATTTAATGCTACAAAGTTAAGTATATTTTCTAAAGTATAGAATACTATTAATTTTATTAATAAAATTGAATAATTTAATATTTTGTTAATCATTTTCCACAAAAAATAAAAAAATTATTGTTAAATTGAAATTTGATTGTGTCGGAAAGGATCTTGAACATATATCGTAGACATTCCACCGAATATATACACACGGGATATAACGTGTAAGATATAGCGTTTCACGCACGAAAGGAGTGAGAAACTATACACACGTAACCACATACGAGCACAACCCAATTAGACTTCGAAAGGGTACACCCTAAGGCATTTCAATGTATCGAAATTAATCCGCGCGTAATTCTTCGAAGCACGTATTGAGACGCTGTTAGCATATAGTAGAATTTTTTTTTCAACGTATTCAGATAGATTTCGACGAGAAATACATGTCTAGATTTCTATATTTTTCTTTGTTATCGATAGAAGTAATCGTAATAATAGAAACGAAAGAATCGCTTTCACACTAGAATGCAATGAAAATAAATAAACGTTAAAATCCATAGCGTACGTTCCTCTGCTTCACGAAGCGGAATGTACTTATTAAACGATGCAGCCACGCGCCAAAATAAAGGATCATGGGGGAGACTAAATAAGTTTCCTATAGCCGCAGGCAGTGCACGATTGTGCATCGAACTGTCATAGGGACATAGGGATATTGAACGTTCTCACGTTTTTCACGTGGCCAGTTCGAAATGTCACTTTTGATGTGCGTGCTGTTCAATGAATCTCAACAATTAATAAAAACATGTTAAATTTTTTAAATTTTTATTATTTATAATTAATAATTATGAAATAGGATTCGTTTTTAGTACAATTTAATTATCAATTTAATTATTCGATTTAACACGAGAGATTATGTAATTACAAAGTATAATATTAGCTTCTATATAAAATTACTTAAAAGTAAATTATAACAGATTTGATACCATTTCTCTAATTAAATTCAATAATTTCAATTTTAGACAATATAACTTTCAGTCGTTATTTTCTTAAAACTAATTAAACAAACATTAAATAAATTCTTTCGTTAAGTAAATAATAACATATACATACTATGTTCTCTGTATCTTTCTCATATTTTATTTCTATTTAAATCATATAAAACACAACATTCGATCGATAATATCAAACATGGAGCAAATAAAAATCTTATAGAGAGAAGAAACGAAATCGAGCCATCGACTGAAGAAACGAGATTTGTCGATACTAAAGAGAATACTTTATCGCAATCGATCGATGCCGCGAGTGGTTACACTACAAGCACGTAAATGGCCGCGAGCCTTTATTTAATAAGTTGTTATAAATTAAAAGGCTACTGCATATTAAACCAATCTCGGCATATTTATAATGATTCTTAAGAGACTATATCGAACGTATGGATATGTAAATCAACCTTTGCTGCTGTTTCGATTCCGCTACATTTCGATCCTTGTTCACCTCGCAATAACAGCAAAGAATTCTTCGCGATTTCTTCTTTCTACGTTCTTTTACTTCGTTGCGTTACCGCGCGTCCATCTTGACTACCGGATATTGTGTAAGTGAATATATGTTCGTGTATCTTCGTGTAAGTTCGTGTCCACGTCGCATCGAGTGAAACTGGAGATTCGGACTCTACACACATGCAGACATGCTTATGAATTTATCTTCGACGATGAAACGACAAACGGTTTTAATTGCCGCCCCGGGCCACGTAGAAATCGCCGCAAGTCTTGTAGGATCCTACGTTTCTTCTTTGCCTCGTTATCTCATGGTGAAGCCGCACCGATAAGTGTTTCGACTTTATCCATCGTGTAGGTTATGCTTAAACGTGTTTATAATGTGAACGGATATTTTATTATAGAAGTGTTATTATTGTATATTGGATTAACGGGAATAAAATTAATGAATGATCGATTAAAACTGTCGAACTATAGTATTGTCTCATTAATTATCGTTGAATAATACTCAGCATTTTTTTGAGGTTGTTTCGAAGAAGCTAATATCTGTAATATGATATGATAAATGTTTTGGCTGCTAATAAGTAAATATAACAATTTAAGCAATTGGTAAATTATATTTTCATTATTAATTTAATTATTTAATTTCATTTCATAATTAATGTATAACAGAAATATTTGAATGTCTCTTTTCATGTATTTCGTGTATATGCGTGTATATATATATATATATATAATATACTATATATACTATATATATAATCTCTATATATATATGTAGATTAGAATATCTTAAAGATTAATTTTAGATTAGAATATCTTAAAGATTAATTTTAGATTAGAATATCTTAAAGATATCTTATTTTTACGATTTATAATTTTAATTAGATTTCTATTTATTTATAATCGTGACAATTAAGAAAAATGAATTTTTTTTCCACTTTTTAAGAATGAATCTTATGAAAAAGTTTCCAGATAAACACGATCGAAATCATGTACACACTATGATTATCATTACCGATCGTAAAATGTTAAAGAATAGATTGCAAAGTATGCCATTTGCTTCATCCAACTTGATTTCACGAAGTATAAACATATACGCGTCTACATATATTCGAGGTCGGTATTATTAGTGTGTATTTCACTTGAAACGTTTACGAGCAAAAACTTTTAGCGGTGCTATTATAAATACCGCTAATTTTTATTGCTATAAGAATCGTTTGCATAGGTGATTACAAAACCATGAAGTGATTTGTGTGAGATAATCAGGAAATTTTTTTGAAGATTAATTATTTAAAAGTGAAATTTTCACCGAATAACTTGTTTTAGATCAGTGTTTTCCAATCTTCTTGATTTGCAAGTTTTTTTTTAGAATATCCAAATATTCTGCAATTTTCTTATATTTTTAATTGGATAAATTACAGGTAATATTTTATTTTTAAAAATATATAAATAAAGATTTGATGGAAATTAAAAAAGATATAAATAATGCTTTATTTTTAGGTTATGTTGCATTTTTTATATTTAGAAGCATTTTTTCAACAATGATTTACCACTAATTTTTCTGTCATAATAAATCATAATTTTGTATCAAAATAATGAAATTATTTTCGAGTAATTTTATAATCAAATCAAATCAAATCTTTCAGATGTGAGATCGTAAAAATTGATTCGTAAAGAAACACAAAAAAAAGAAGTAACTATAAAGATTCTGATTCGAAGTCTCAAGGGTACTCGAAGACGAAAATGGCAAAGAAATCGCAAACGGCAATCACGGACTAGGTACTAACCTAATCAACCAATCTTCGTTCTGTTCCTCTGTTTCACTGTTCCTCGATTCTTTTACTCAAAGAAGGGAAATGATTTGCTATCCTCGAATTATTCTTTCCGTTACAATTCTTATCAAATGAAGTTTAATAGTTTCAACTATAGGTAAGATCTGATTTTTTTCATATTTTATATTTGCAAATATTTAAAATTTATATAAATATTAAAATTATTATATTTAAGATAATTTATATTGAATGTACGTCTACACAATTTAATTGATTTCTGTAAATTAATTATCTTTTTTATCCGCATTATTATTTTGATTTACATAATTCATGATTATGATAAATGTATTTTTTTTCAATTTCCTAATTTTTCAATTTTAATATTGCCAACTGAATATTGTTACAATCAAATCCAAATAATCCAATAATGTTATCCAAATAATTAACAAACTAATTCATCCCACAATTTTTCTCGTTCGCACTTCTGTTAAAAAGATATACCGGAATCTTGTTTAGGACTATCGTTAAACATCCGATCGTGGTTCATCCTATTTGCTTCTCGTGCAATCGTCCATCTTTCAAATCTCCTTTCGCAGTCTTCTCTTTTCGCCAGTTTTCTTCTTCCTTACGTGGGCCCTTATACATTGAGGCCCGCAGACGTCTCTTTCTCTCTTTTTCTCTATTCCTCCTTTCCTTCTTCGTTGGCCCCTTTCTCGTAGTCACGAATATCGTTCCTTCATAGTTCATATATCAAACGCTTAGGAAAGGCGGCGACACATAAATACCCCGTACACGGGTTATATAAAAGCCACCACCTCGAGAGGATATATCCCACCAGGTAAAATATATTAACCCAACTTGGGCCGCGTGGGTTTCACTATTTTCGGGGACACTGCCTCTCTTCCCGTTTCACCGTCTCTGTTCGACTAACAGTTGAATTTGATTATATTTTCTTTTTCTAGATCGGTCCACTCTTTCCCGACTGGAATGACTTATGGGCATGCGGCGTGCTTTTAGTCTCCACGAGACTATCACAGGATTATAGTGAGCCATGCAACTATAATAATCATTCTCGTAGCGATTTTACTTTTCTTCGATAATATTGGAATTTTGATTATGGAGTGTTGGTATTTTTAATTTTTTTTATTGTTATTTTTTATTTGTTAAATCGATATCTTATCTAATTTCTATTATTTAATTAGGATTTTTGCCGGCTTCTAGATAAAAAATATATCAAAAATGGATAAAATAATCCTAGCACAATTGGACTATAATAATCTCCAAAACTTGTTCATAGAAAAATACGAAATTCACCATTGCTCTTCCCTATTCTCTGCGCTCAACATTCCAATTAATGTAAATCGTGGTAGTAACGATACTCCATTGGGATCGCTTCGTGGAAATTTCCGTGCATTCTGAAAATTGCTAGGTCCCCAAGTGAGCGAAAATTGGATCGTTTGTATCATTTGCGATTGTAACGCCGACAAATGCCATCCTAGACTATTATAAACACGACAGAATGAGGTTTGGCAGAGAGTAGGCCAATGATCGGATTATCCTGGAAACTTCTTGGGCAGAGAAACACCCGTGAACTTAGTACGTGCTGAGAAGCGTGTACCATGCGCTCGTATATCGACATAAGGCATTGTTAGGATTCCCGGGGGACAAACCGAGATCAAACGCTGTTAGCGCAAACTATGCCCTCGATTCTCGCTTAAGTTCATTTTACTGCCATACCTCCAATGCTCGCGAGATAGTGTTGTTAGTGCCTTTTTTTTTGAATTTGTTTGATCTTATTTATTAGTAATCATTCCTATTTTGTCGACATTTATTTATTTTTGTATAGACAATGTTTCTATATTTACATGAAGAAGAATATTAAAAATATTTTTAAACGATGCAATTTTTGGTGAATATAATTGTATGATTTAACATAAAATTCTATTTCTATTGATATTTAATTGACATTAACATATTTTTGATAAAGTTTAAAATTTTGTTTTCAGAGTAATAAGTAATCCAAATTGCCTATGGAGAGAATTAATAATTATAAACGTATTAGATATTGGATTAATCATCATTATTATATCAATTTTTTTATTATTTTGGAAATCAATCCTCAAAAAGATTCTCCAAAAATGTTTTATGAATATATTAACATGCTACATACACGTGTATCTGGTGCACACGGTTTGGTATATCGTATCCGAAAAAAAGCATTCGTGAAGCGGTGGCCCGACAATGGCGGCCAGTAATAAATTATAAATCGAAAAAAGGAGGAATAACAGCAACAAGAAGCGGCAACCGCGGCGAGTTACGGTTTCGCGTTAAATATGAAATACTGCTATCCACGTCTCGAAGGTGCGCACGTATACAAGGTAGAATATGTATACGTATACATATAAAAGTAGTACGGTATTAAGTAGCTGTTTAACATATTTTAATTGCCAAACTAAAATTTGAAATACCACGATATGCTAGTTATAATAACTTTCCTAATATCTATTATAAATCTTCGTAAATCATTTGTCTATAAAAATGAAAGTTTGAAGTAAAAGATTATTATTATTTATATGTCATTTCTGTTTTACATTCTTTGTTATTTGAAAGAAAAATGAAGCTAACAAAGAAAGTTCAATTATTATAATAATTTATAGGTATTTTTGCAGTAACTTTTTTTATTAAGTTTTTATCTTTGTGTTAAATTGTTTAAATATTATCAAATATATTTCAACTGTATATATTTATGTCTACAAATAAATTTTCAGGAATTTATATCTAGTCTATATCTAGATAATGATTTCTATAAAAAAAAAAGTATTTATTTCATGTTATACATATTTCAATATTTACGATTCTATTCATCTATTTTTTTCAACAAGTTTTAGGATGACAGATCTTGGCCAAGGGCGGAGATCACCGGCCCATTAAAAGGACCTTATTAATATTGTAATTCCTTTTTAATACGCGTAAATTTAGAATCGGGACAAGCCCACCTTGGAGACTGTTTTATAGTTATTTGTTTTTTTTTTTTTTCATAGATTTCTTTTTCCAATGCAACATTCCTTGGAGCCTTGGAACTGATTTCTGCAACAAAAATTCTTAGTAAACGTATAAATTATCCATTTATTATTTCGATGAATAATAAGAATAATAAGAAAATAACTAGAATTTTTTTTTCCTATTATTTAGTTGTTTATTGTCATCTGCTACAATAAAAGAAAACAAATTTTTGATATAAAATGATCAGAAAAATAGAAAAAAAAAATAGAAAAATAAATTAAATAAGAATTAAATTTTTAATTTATAAGAAATTTATACATTTATACATTTAGAAACATAGATATTTTAAAAGTTTAATCCTAAGTTTTAGTTTTGATTTTAAGTTTATTTTAAATTTGAGTTAAATTCAGGGTTAAATTTCTTAAAATGGAATTAAACTAATTACAAACTTTACAAATCAATGCTGAAATGTTCTTTTTTATAAAATAGTTTTTAATCATAATTTTTCAAATTCACAAAAAGTTTACTATATTACACTTATTCTTAACCTCTCTTTCTTATTAATGATATTTTCACAAATTAAAAAAAAAAATATTCTCAAAAACTCAAATAAAAACGTTCAACGAAGTGAAATAAGAAAAAGCTCAGGTGTTCAAATTGTGGTCCATCGTATATTGCATTCACATATGTCATTTACCAAACGTTTCCTTGCATCGGTTTTCCATAGCCACGGCACGAACGGCAAAAGACCCGACGGTGATCAGGACACATAGATAGGTATGCGTATATATACACATAGCTAGCAGCGGTTTGTACAGTTAACAAACGAACACAGATATCTTGTATCATCGGCGGATGAGTTAGATGGTCGGTGCGAAGTCAGTCACTTGATGGTGCTGGTATGACGTGGTAAATTATTTATTCACCGGCGACTGCGGGTGAATAATGGATCTTCCTTCGCCGCGAATGGCACCAAGAAACGTTATTGATCACCGAAATATCAAAAGTAGGCGTATCCATCACCGATGGACCACCATACGTATATACAGGGTGTTAAGAAACATGTGAGACGAAAAGAGGATGAGATGAAGATTGACTATTATTTGTCTCTATCTTTCTACATCTAACGCAAATTTAAATTGTTGTTCATAATTTAATAAATAAATTATCAATCTATATATATTTTTTTGAACTTAAAAATCTTTGATTTGTTTTAAAATTTAAGATAAGAAAATTGCGTTGGAAATTTCACCCTATATGCGTATAAAAACGAAGGTATATGGAAACGATCCGGTAAAGGAACTCGCATATACGCGATTATATCCTGAACACAAATGGGAAGAGTTGACTATACATATAGAAGAAGAGAGGAGATAGAAGATCGGATGAGAGAGGAGGTGAAGAACGGATGGATGGATGGACAGACAGACGGATGGAATGCTCGGGCTGCATCGGTACGAGGCCTGTTCTCGACAATAAAATCGATTTTTCATACGAGGCATTTATCATACACCCGCGATAATGGGTGTGTATGGAGATACGGTATAAATATTTCGAGGTAAATAATCGTTAGCTTTCGAGTAACGGAGTGTGGAGAGAGCATTAATAATATCGGTGTCCTTTTCATGTGGTGGAAAGAATTGACAGCATGGTAGAATCCTTCGTTACCAATGACTGTGCGCGCGTGAACGCGAGTGAGGTTATGTATACGCGTGTGTATAGCTCATATGTAAGTTCGAATGATAATAAGCGTCAAGATTCTTGTTTGTGAACATTTCTCTATTGAAGAACGGTGTGAAAAGTGTCCGGGAAATTCGAGAACCAATAATGGAAGGTATGAGAAATCTTTCGATTAATTATTTGAAGTTAACCTATTAATTTTCTTTTAAACATGTCCTATATAATATATATTGTCGTATATTCTTACGATAAGAGAAATTTTATTTCAAGAAGATTTGTTCAAGTTTTATGAATACTTGATCATCTAAAAGATAATTTTATAGATCTTATAATAAAGATATTACTTTGAATTTATAAAGTTAATGTATTATATATTAAAATGACTAGAAATTGTTACGATTTTAACGTCGAACGTTTAAAACGCCATTGAATTTTGGTTTTCTTGCGGTCGACAGCGCAATTAGTATCCCGCTGATTTTCAAAGAAGGGTGTTGCTATTCACTTTCGAAATACGCACTTGTGGACACTTCGGTCTCTTCATGGCCCCTTTGTCCTGATCAATCGAGAAAATTTTTCGGATGGCTTGTCGAGATCGAGGGCTAAATTATCGACGACAAGTGTCCCACGGTCGAATGATCGTCGTTCAAGCAGATACAATAGCATCCGATTCAAACGAACGTGCTTATCTCGGTAAAAAAGTCTATTTAGATTACTCATATAGCAGATATACATATCTTCCCTAAAATCTATGTAAGTGAGCTTTCCTCTTGCATTTGTCTCTTCCTTTTTTCTTTTTAATCTTTGCATTCAAATCTCGAATAGACATAATATATACCTATATCTTCTTTTTTTATTATCAAAATGGAGATTAATTTTTTTCGTGTATTTTTTTTCTTGAATTTCTTTTCTTTTCATTCTTTTCTTTCCAATCTCTGATCTGATATGTACAAAAGTATTAGGATATTTAGACTGTCATCCATTAATTGAATAATAATGTCCTCGCGTATATTATTAACTAACAACATTCGTAGATAGAATTTGAAATTTTAAATTATAAATTTTTCCCTTATAATTTTACTTTAGCAAATAAATTTATATAATCGATAAAATTTCACATAACATTAATATAAATTTCTGTTTGATTAAATTTTTGTTCCCTTATTTATTAAAATTTATGAAAATGCGCGATAATAAGAATTATATCTGCCCGTTTTTATATTTCCTATTATTGCGAATCTTATGAAACTTTGCACCTCGATATGCTCATATAACATTCTCGGTTGAAATTTAGATGAAATGAAAAGCGAGGCTCAAGAAAGCGATGTCCGTGACAAATCCATATCGATTAATCTCCCGTAGTGGACGCGAGCGTATCCGTTTCTGTTTATTAGCATCGGTAGACACCGGCCGTTTACAAGGTGTAACTATGTGGCCAGGTGGTCGATCGTCGAAACTCGACCAATGAAAACCCTTTGCACCATGGATGACCCCCAGCTGAGAGTTCCTTCTGGCTTCTTACTTTTTATTTTCTCGCCTCCTACGGCGTTACCTCTTCATCTTCACTCCGACCCGGTGCCTTGCCGGTCTTCCTATTAGAGGCCGGCAGAGGTGGCGGTGGCGTCGACTTCGAGATAATTACACGATCGATATGCTAAATATCTGCCGCCTCAATCACGTGAATAAACGGAGGTACATGGTAAATTGGATTAACCACGAGATTACCGACAACCTAGGGGGATGTAGCCTGGGGTCTGTTTGCTCGTACTACAAACGTGTTTTTGGCGAACGATCTTGACACGAGGAAGATATAGCTACGTTAGTGAATTAATTATTATCACGTAATTTATTTTATAACAGGAAAACTTTGAATCGCTCCAACTTTAAAGATAATGAATCTTAATCTTTTAAATCATTTTTATTTCCAGCGTGATTTCTCCGTATGCAAAGAAAAAGAGTACTTTTTATTTATTAGTTTTTATTATCATCATTTACGATCTTTTCGCTCGCACATTCTCAAGTTTCATGCGTTTCCCAAATCGCGGGATGGATATTTTAAATTTTCGTATCTCGACAATACAATTGAGATATCGGAAAGAAATAATGATATATTTTCTGAGTTTGTATGACACTAGTTATAATGTAATAACACGAGTGCTAAGTTATTTAAATTTAATATCTTATCGCTTTTCGTTGCCAAGATATAATTAAAATTACATGAAAGAGAAACAATTGATTAAATTTGTGCGCATCAAGAATACGATTTCGTATGTACGGGGAACGGTTGCCATGTAAACGCGTTCAAACTTATGCACTGGACACGCGAGAAGCGTGAGTTTAATCTACTAACCCATAAGCCTGGACAGACGGCCTAAAGGGGATCGAGGATAAGAGATACAGTGGACCAAGGGGTATACCCCGTGCAAACCTCCGAGAGGTGGACTTAAAGGCTCCTCGGATTCTTATTTCCCCATAAATAATTTTAATGACGCGTCGCGGCAGTTCAGGTAGGGCGAAGCTATGCGGAGCCCTGGACCTGTAGCCAGTATTGTTATTTATTATATTCGTCGCATGCGAGCAAGCCTCTACCCTCGAATACAGCCATATCGTGCCTTATACGTGTGAAAACGCGAAAATATGGTGTACCCTTATTATCTTTAAAATAGCAATTTTTATTTCATAGGCAGAAACAGATTAATTTATTAGAATTCTACGAATTCTATCAAACGTAACTTAAATTTTTTATGCGACTCATGTTATATATTTACAAAGAAAAATTTTTAAATTATTCATTTAATACTAAGCAATCTGTATTTCGCTCCATAAACGAACGTAATCAAAAGTAACGAACATAATCGAGCAAAAAGATTTTCGATCGTGGAAAATTAACGCAGTTATTTGCCAAACATCTTAAAAATTCCCAGCTTCCTTCCAAATCCCCCGAAAACTTGCCAACCGAGAGAATACATCTCGTCGTAACCTATCACAACACGCTCGACAATTACGCGGGACCCTACCCCATCCCGGGAGAAAGATCTTCGAGAACGATCCTTTTTCGCACGCGGCACTCGCGACCAATCGAGAAAGACTCGTATCGCGGGCCGTGGTGGGGGATGGCAGCGTGCGCGTGTGCGCCTCGCGGTGGATCGAGTTCCGTGTCGTTGGGCGTAGCGCGGCTCAGCCAATGGGAGACGGCGCAGCGCTCGTGCCCACCCGACCGCCCCGGCCACGCCTACCTCTCGCCGATACGATACGCGGCTCTCTCTCTCCCCGTGCTCGTAGTGTAGTGTTGGAATTACGTTTATTATACCGCCGAGCGTATCGAGTCTCGGGCCATGCTGCGCTCCTCGGGCGTAGCTATCGCTTGCTTGCGGGTCGCGAATTATATTTGTTTTACGTGCGATTTTACGCGATGCTATTGAGGCCGCGGATTACTTTCCTGTGACCGATAACCAGAAGTTATATAGGCGAATTGAATAAAGGGAAGTGTCTCTGGATCGTTGTACCTGAGGCAGTCATGAAGGTATGTGAAAGATATTTGAAAGATATACGTTGGAACTTGGGTAACTTTTTTTTTTTTGGATTTCTTATTTATGAATGAAATTTTGTATTTGGATAATTAAGATAATTGTTTTGAGTTTATTGAGGTTTAGGTTTGGGGATTTCGGATAGAATTGTGTTATGTTATTAGGAATGTAAACAAATTCGTATTAAATGGTAGGCTAGTATCGTCGTGTATTTATTTATATCGATTTTCGTACGTAGAATGTATAATATTTATAGTGTTAAATACAGATTTTAGAAAGAAAATGTATTTTCGTTGAATATTACGTAAAATTTAGAAAATTCTAGCGTATTATAGATGTTGCAAATTTATCATTATTTTCAAATAATACGATACGTTTTTAAATTCTAAATGTTTGTACAAGTTCGTCACAACTATTCCATTTCGAGTTTTATAATTGTAACCATTAATTCTTTCGAAATTTCTAACACTTGTCAAAATAGTGATAAATTTTGACAGAATTTCAATATTTACTTCGTTAAAAATGTTCAAACATATATATATATATATATATAACATCGAGAGCGAAATATCTTGAAACTTTTACTTGAGATTAGCAAAATTTTTCAATTTTTCGAGATATATATATATATCCCTAGGTGTAAAATACATTTTTTCACACGACAATTTCGAGATAAAAGGGAGGAAAAAATAAAATTCACGATGAAACGCTACCTACTTTCGTATAATTTACTTGTGCCATAAAATCCCTAGATTCGTCGCGGTCGTGAGTTGATGAGGTTGATGAGCGTTGGTGGACAGCGACACCGTGCAAAGAATAAGAAAAAAAAAAAAAGAAGAAAGAAACGCATGGACTCGAGGAATTCTCGAGTCGGATCTTGCCATCTTTGGTTGTTTCGCAAAATTAATCTAATGATTTTTATATTTTTCTTTCTCTTTTCTGCCTGTTTAAATCACTCAAGTATAACCAATAATAAATTCCAGAATCGATACCTCTTTGACATCTGCTCGAAACTATCGATATTCGTTCGGTACACATTGATATCAGCTAAGATTATTAAAATATAAACACACATACATACATATAAATCACTTATTATCAAAAGTTTTAAATGTATAAAGAAGTAGCTTATTCATTCTACTATTATTGTTAAGAAGAAAATATCAAAGTTACATATCAATATTTTTCATTAGGTTAGGTTAGATTTATATCGATATCGATAACTCACTGACCAAATAATACTATCATCCAGTCTAACCTAAAATTAAAACACGTATCGATACTTTCTAA